ATATATAAACAAACTGAACTAAGGCTGAACTAAAAGTGTGGAGTTCATTTTTGCACTCTGGCCTCTGAGTCAGTACTTTTTGAACTCAGCTTTTGGGGCATTTGGAAAACAGCTCAACCTCAGTCTGTGAATGTTCTCCTTTTAGTCTCACTACTGAATCTTAATTTGATTTAGGTCTGGACTTTGACTGTAGAAAAGTGAATCTTAACCCTGTGGAGAAGTGGTTCACTGGAGTATCAAAGATGGGTGTGTAAACAGCCTTTCCAGTCTGACGGAGGTCAATTTTTCCATGTCTGTTTTTGAGAAAGCAACAATAGAATTGAACTGCGAGGCGGTCGGGTCTCCCTCACCTGTCTGTGCAGGGCCCGTGGTGAGGGGCCTGGTGTTGGCGGGGCGATGCGGGGCAGAGTGAGGGTGGGAGTCGACTGCGGGTGATGAGGGGAAGCGTCTGGAACCTGGAGCAGAGAGCGGCTCTCGCAGGGCTGGGAGTGGATCGACATCACCGAGACTGCGGGACGAGATGAATCAACAGTTCGTCACACAAAAAGGTCGAATCGCATTTTTGCCTCTGTAGAAACATGCAGCTTTGCAGAAAAAAAGATAAATAAAAAATCGTGCACAATTAGTAGTACGCTGACACATGTTGTAGTTCCTGTAGCGTTGTAGTAAATGACACTTTATTATGATAGCACATCTGGAGTAAAGGGATCAACAATTTCAGCTAAAAAAGTAATTTAGCGGTAATTTAGAAGATGCTGAAATGTCAGGCATGCTATCAAAACAAAATGTTTTTTTTTTCTCTTGCTAATCAGAGCAGAAATGTTATCTTGAAGCTCTTCATAGATGACAAATAATCTGCATTTAGATTCTGGTTACACAAAAAGCTTCACATGATAGACGAGGTAAGGATATGTTCACCTCTTAATGACTTATTAAAAGACTAGTAATAGACAAGCAAGTCCAATTTCTGTGAATCTATGTAACCAGAATCTTTGGCGTTTCGAACACACACATCCCTTGAATCTGTGAGTTCAGATAAAGCCGCTTCAGCGTTACGCTCATTTTAAATCAATACCTTCAGCTCAAGCTCTAAAGTCACTGATTCCGAAAACCTCCTGTAATCCGTACACTCATTCTTTTTTTTTTTTTTTTTTTTTTTTTTGGCGTCTGGGGTTTTTTTTTTTTTTCACTTTTTCC